ATTTTTCAGGGAAGAGATCCGGTAGAGAACGCTAGAGACTCAAGGGTCGATTCGGCTTACGGATCAAAGAAATGGAGAGAGGATACTGGTGAAAACTATGCTCAAGCTGCTAAAGACAAGGCTAACGAAGGGGCAAGCAAAGCTGCTGATAAAGCTTATGAGACAAAAGAGCAGGCTAAGGACACAGCCGACGATGCGAAAGAGAAGGCTAAGGACTACGCAGAACGAACTAAGGATAAGGTGAACGAAGGAGCGTATAAGGCAGCGGATAAAGCCGAAGATACAAAAGAAAGAGCAAAGAATTACGCAGAGGATACAATGGACAATGCGAAAGGGAAAGCTCGAGATGCGAAAGAGAAGGTCAAAGAGTATGGAGAAGATACTAAGGAGAAAGCAGAAGGGTTTAAGGAGACTGTGAAGGGTAAAGCTGAGGAACTTGGAGAGAAAACGAAGGAGACGGTGAAAGAAGCTTGGGAGAAGACCAAAAATGCTGCACAGACCGCTACTGAGGCTGTGGTTGGGCCTGAAGACGATGCTGATAAAGCACGAGCTGATATCGATAAAGGAGTGGACAATCTAACTAAAAAAGCAGAGAAGAAAAAAGCGGAGAAAGATCGTAATGAGGATGATTTCATAACATTTAAATAATGAGAAAGATACATATCTGTATATTTGTGTTTCTTTGTTTCCAAAGTGTTTTCTTTCTCTTTATGTAATACTCTGTTTTTAGCTTATCCTCTGTTTTAAAACTACGTTTAATCTCATGCATGTGAGATGCATTAGTATATAAATAAGATAAATCTATGGTTATGTGACTTATGTCTAATAGTATGCTTCAATTTATTTTCTATCAATCTCAATTCCAAATTTTGAACCGACCGATTTGTTCGTAGGTCATATCAAAATTCAAAACTAATTTAAGCAGAGTGTGTAGAGTCGTAAACCACTAAACAAACCAAAAAATAAATGTGCGGTTCAGTGAATTTGTTCCTTTCCACGGACGACGATAAGCTTTTTTTTTTGTCTTCGCTAGTTACCAATGATTTGTTTAACCATTTTGACTTTTGAGTTTTGAGCTCTTAAATGTGAAAATCATCTAAAATTTAATTTGAACGAATGACCGTTTTACTGTGGCGCGAACCCTTTCGAATATAGAGCTTTGAGTTTTCAATTATTATTATTTTTGATAAAAGAGTTTACCATGACTGTGGAGACTTCCGGAGGGTTTTTCTGTGTGGTTTTAACTTTTTTTTTTTTTTTGTAAACTAAACGAAAAGCCATGTGTGGTTTTTACTTGACATATAAATTTATATTATAGTTGAGTTTCTTGTCTTCTTGGTACAGTTAATGGCATTGATTGTATTAACTAAATATTTTCTATAATGTGAAAAACATAAACTGTTCTAAGTTTCTGTTCTTCCCTATTACTTTAAGACTTCATGAGATCTATCATCAGTTCATGGCTATGTAGGATTATTTGTCAAAATTCTCTAAATACGTGATTTATTTATGTGGAAGTGTTATGTGGTTTTGAAAAATGGGTTACAAATGAGTTTTTTTGTCTTCTTGAAATGGATAGTATTGTCTAGTAGCTAAATCTTTCATATTCATAGCATTTGTATATATAAATTTGAATATGTGACTTTAGAAAAATAAAAATTGGGAAATCTTAAACATTTGTTGCTTTGAGAAACCTTGTTTATCCCTTGTGGAAGAACCTTCTCTCACTTTCACACCTCGCTCTCTTGATAATTGGTGTTAAATGCCAATTATCTAAGTGCTTAGTTGGTCTTGAAAATAGTTTACTTCGTATGGAGACCATTTTGTTGTGCTCGAGTCCCTTGTCTTCTTGGTATTTTTGTTGCTCTCTACTATTACCTTTCAATTCTCACCATTTGTGTTACATTAATTCAAATATGAACAAATCATATACATAGATTTTTTTTGTTATTAATTTTATCGTGCGCCACGAAAAACACGTGTGAACCCACACGCTCACACACTCTTTTCCTTCCTCAAAACAAATTTCTATTAAATCTCAATTAAAGTTCTGTAAATTTGATATAAATGGTTATTTGATATAAAACTTTATGTTTTAGTTAAGTCTCTTGTCATTTAGGTATTGGGTTTTGTTGTCTACTTAACCATTTCTATTCTCACAAGTTGTATCAATCTTAAATATGGGAAAATCCTAACCAAATCCTTATGTAATAAAATTTATCTTGTTGCGCCAATGAGAGCACGCGTGATTATGCAGGCGCTTACCCACATTATCTTTAATCTCACAACAAATCAAATATAAAACCCATAAAAAGGTTATTTATCTTGGTGTTTTGTCTGTTTCGAAAATTATGTTATTTGATATAAATAAAAAAATTCTTGTTATGGTTGAATTTATTGTCTTTTTGACATTGGGTGGTGATGTCTACAAATCTTCCTTATTCTTTACAAATCATATAATATCTTTATACAGAAAACTTATCTGACGTGTCATCGGAGCGCCTATCAGCTCTCGTGGTTTCAAACTCTCTCTCATAGTAAATACGTGTACTCTATGCTTGTTTTGCCTTGAATTGTCATTACACTCTCAATGTCCCTAGATTTTGTTTATGTTTATATGACTACAACTCATTAAACCATATCTTCTTGATTCTCCATTTTCATATAGAGACAAGAGTTAAGACTAAGCTTAGCCTAAGATTTAATGGTGTGAAGATAAATCTTTAGATTTTATTAATTCACAATCTTTGACACGTTTCAATCATAATCTCACTGATCTAATACCCAAAACGAATCTCTTCTTAAATTTCTACGCCCCAAAAATCTATATAAGAAGCCACCCTC